GCTTCTTTTCCAGAGCTCCTGCCACCCATCGTCATTTATCGTCGTTTATCGTCATACTGATGTTTTTCTCCTCCGCCGGGTTCCTCGGGTTTGCTTGCTGCGCGTTTTGGCAGGTGCAGCGGGCGCCGGTGAAGAGTATCACCAGAGGACGAGTGGGTCCCTGCACCATCGGAGCACCTTTGTCGGACCACTGAGATGGGTTTTGCGAAGAGATGGGCCTATTTGGTCAGATGTCATTGGGTCATATTGGGTCAGCCATACGGACCTGAACACCCAGCCAGTCCCATGAATGAACATGAAAGAACAAAAGCATGAACATCTGCAGCAAGCTCTGACTCTGCGCTCTGCGCGCTCGCAGAGCGCCATTCTGCGCGGCCCGGCCCGGCAGGATCCAGACGCTCAAGACGGCCATTCGTGGCGCTGAGGCGCGACGGTCTCCCATCCCATCGTGAACCAGACGGTCGGATCGGATCGGAGCCGCGAGCGATCGGACCGGTGAAGGAACAGGAACATGTCGACTTTGATGAGGAAGGGAACAGGAACATGAGTGAACATGTGTACAGGAGTTGTAGGGAATTTGTAGATCATTCACATTAATTATTGTGTTTCGTTTAAGAACAAACACGATTTGGGTCTCAGCCAGTTTCTGGTGTCGAGAGCAACTGGGAAAAGGATGGTCGTTTGGGAAATGGATGGAAAAGGGAATTGATGCCAATCAAGCATTGACAGTTTGGCCTCAGGCCTCATGAAAGCTACCAGATTTTGTTGGTTTGTTTGTTCGTTTGTTCACAGATGCATGGCTGAGAGAACGGCTTGGCATTGGGAAAGTGAAACGGTTTTGTTTAACACTCCACAGGACTGGAATCTATGCCTCAGGTTTGACCCCGAGTCTTCCGGCAAAGATGTCACACTCGTAGTCAACGACATGGAGTGTTTGGGCGGTTGAGGTCGGCAGTGCCCACTGCGATTGGGAGCCGTGAGCTGTCTGGCGATGTGAACGCGCTCACGCTCTGATGGGGAGCAAACACAGGGCAGCTCATGGGACGCAGTCTATCGGTCAATCCAAAAGGCACTTGAAGGCAGGTTTCATTCGTCCCAATTTACGCTCCAGTTCGCCAGGAAAAATCAAATGGTCCATCACGGTCAATCGTCAGAAAAGAAGAAGGTGAACATGAGCTCAGTATGACTCAGGATCACTATGACTCATACCCATGAATCTGCATCTTCATTGCCCCATCTTGCCCCGAATCCCAATCCAGGCCATCCAGGCTCAGTCTCTGCATCTTTCCTTGGGCCCGGAGGCTTTAGGTCTCTCTGACGAGTCCATCCAGCCAGCCCGAGAGGCGCGCCCTCACCGGTACCGGGCAGCGAGCTTCGTGCGGATGGCCGTTGGTTTAGATCCATTGAGGTCCATGATTTCAGGGGAAACATCAAGACATGGAAAGACTGAGGGTGTTTTTTTCATGACATGGCCAGGGGGAGCGACTGAGCTTTGTGTATGTGTCGGCTTTCAGTAGGCTTCAACCGAAGCATACATAAGCACACGCTAGCACACGCATCAATACACTGGAAGCAAACATACATAAACAGACGGATACACTTGATCCGAGTACTCGCACAGGTGTTTTTCTCCTTCAAGGTATTGTATTGCTTGTTTCAAGCTTCCACGGGTTTTGCTTCATCAGCCATTCAGAGCTGTAGATATGCATCCTGACATTGTTTCTTGTTCAACTGGCCATCCCAAGCATGGCGAGCATCACCCGCCACACGCGGTGCCACACGCGGTGCCGCTGGGCGCGGTGGGCGAGCGCGTCTTCCAAGGCTGGGATTTGTAGGTGAACTGCCGACTGGGGCGGAAAAGGCTATAGGCTGGATGTGCTCAACTGCAAACATGGAGACATCGGGAAACCGTTTGTTATTTTAATTGATGGTCCTGAGATGTGTTGAGGGTACTGCTGAGAACTGTTGTGGATTGGGGTTCCATCAAAGCATGTTTTTTTGAATTCCCAAAAAATACTTTGCTGGATTCGATGATTTTGTTGCTGGCACAAAATGATGGAGAAGCACTTCAAGCTATATATACATATAGTTATACACTTACACATAAGACGCCACTGTCGACCACACAAGTTTCACCTTTACATTCAACCGACTTCGGCCGTACCTTGGACGACGCCGTACCTTGGCCTTCAGGCCACGCGACCGGTGCGGCATGCGCCCACCGTCCAGGGTCCCTCCCGTGCCTACGCTGCGCTGGCGCGGCGCGCAGGCATCTTGAAGGGGGAGGGAACGATTGAGACGCCCGGCTGCAAGAATGCCACTTAGCTGATCTGGCCTCATGGGCCGACGAAGGGGTGCCACAAGCACGGTAGTAGAGAGGGTTTTCTTGTATCAAATACATGCGTTATATATCCACCTTAATCATGGGAACCTGCAAAAACAGATGTTACCATTTTGAGAGATTTCTTTATGTTGTTACTGTTTGTGTATGTTTGTGTCGTTTTCTACGAAGCCCAGTGCTGTTGGGAGACCGCGGGCAATTGCCTTCCCCAAATGCACGTTCAGTCGTCGATGTTCTCGGCGATCCAACCAGCTGGACCTGCAATCCATCTTCGCGCGTGAACCGGGTTTTTTCCACAGATCGAACCCGATGAAACGAAAAACATCGAAAAACCGCGCGGAGAAAAAGCATCAAATCCGAGGATGGTGGGCAAAGCTTTGGCGCTCCAAAAGTCGGGGCGCGACATCATCCGGATGGAGGCACCAGGGGCCCGCCAGGGCCAGGGGCCGATGCGGGACATGTCTTTTTCTGAATCCAAGGTTGGGCTGTAAAGGACAAAATCTCTATAAGGTTGGGTTAGATTTCTGAATCCAAGGTTTTTCTGAATCCAAGGTTTCTAAAAGGACAATATCTCTATAAGATGAAAAGACCAGCAAAGTGACTAGCGACTCTTGGACTAGAGCGACTATCCAGTCCAACGAGGAATCCAGCCTTTTCTCGTAAGTACCTCCAAGTTGATTGTTTCAACATCTGACATCGGGCACTCGTCTTTGGGCTCTCATCTCGTTCCGACTTGTTCCCCTTCAAACCCGGCCGTGGCTTTTGCTTTTGACTCAGGTTTGTTTACATGTGTTTACCCTCCTTAAGGCTAAGGCATAGGCTTCAACCGAAAACGTTGCGGCTACTCCTTTGGGCACGGGCGCTCTTTGAGCGTGCGTTCGCACCCGTTCGGCAAGCACGGCAGGTGGGGGACCCGGATTTCGCCACGCCCAAGCATATCACAGCTGGGGAGCCCGGAATGGGCCCCAAGGAGGTTTATATAACTGATATATAGATAGTATTGATAATTATATAATAGATATTATCAGTAAGATGAATTTGGCGGAGGCAGAAGGAGAGGAATGAAAAGGACAGTGAGGTCCTTCAGTCGGAACGATGCACTGCGTCCGGTTCAGCCCTGTCCCTCGCGCTTGAAATCTCTCATCGAATCGAAGACTGGAAGTATAGTGACTATCAAGCATCCAGTGCATCTTTGCACATCCATCCCATTTGCTGGGGAGTTTCATCCAAGACTCCCATGTGAGTGGGTCAGGACGACATCGGCTGATTTTCCCCTGCACCACCAAAAAAAAACTTTGAATTTCTGGGAAGGCTTCCCAGTCTCCATGCTGCAGCACTTTACAGTTCAAACTGAGTAGAACTGCCGCATCGAAAAACTCGGACCCGCGAGCGCTCGGAGAGATGAAGGGAGCCAGCCTGAGCCCAGACGGAAAAAACATCCACCGAAGGATCCAATAAAATTGCAGTTTGGTAGAAGATTGTTTGATTGATCATTGTCATTCATGATCATTGTCCCACAGTGCTACTCAGGTGTAGACAATTTGACCATCATCATCCACTGTTACTGGCAATAGTACAGACCCGAAAGAGTCGTGTTTTACTTTCAACCCCCACCAGCAGTGCTTCTTAAAGCCCATCATATGTGGACGCCAAAAATACAATCACACAACAACAAAAGCAACAAACAATATATACATATAATATAATATATTTATATATATATATATTCCGCAGCGAAGCGCAACCTCGTGCAGCCATGCGATTGTTGCAGACCTTGCTGAAGCATTCGGATGACCTGCCATTGGAAGGGCGTTGTGCCCCGCTGCCCAGGGCCGCATCGTCGTGGGTGGCCTTTGTGGATTCTTCCCACCAGGTGGGTGGGACATGTGGGAGAAAGCAGGGGTAGGCCCGGGCCGAGCTCAGACCGGGTGGTTTCAGGCTTTGGGAGGATGTGGAACTGGTTCTAGATTTTAGAGTTTGTTTGGATGTCATTGGTGCTCAGCCGTTTCATTGGTTGGTTGTGGAATGTCTGACCAGAGAGGTGGGCTCAGTTGCGAGCAAGTCCTTGTTTAGCCAGCCAGCAGAGGGTTGGACAATTGATCGTGAACCTCATAGCCACCCTGGTCTCTGATTTGTTTCGAAGAAGGCCCGATGGCTCCCATAGGGCTTCTGCCCAAGCGAGGACATCGACATCAAGAGCAAAAGGAGAAATGACTTCTTCGACTTTGGGACGCTTTGAGGAACTGCTTAAGGCTTACGGCTCTGGTTATTAACATAGACATGGAAAATGGTCCCTTTACATTAATAGGAACCTGGTTTGGAGATGTCTTTAAACGGTCCATTATCCACGTCTATGCAAATGACCAGTAGTGTCGGTGTTATTTATTCTCGGGGAATCCGTCCGGGCATACTTCGATAGAGTCTGATAGAGCAGGTGACAGAGCTTCTAAATAGAATTGACGAGAAACTAGGGAGCCTTCCAAGCAGACTTGTCTTTTTCCTCTCCTCTTTGGCCAATAGCATTACCAGGACCATCCAAGGGGTGTCCAAAACAAAATTGTGTCAGTGTCAGGCACTCTTTGACCTTGATCCCGTGTTTCTGATCTTCTTTTGGTCATTTCTAGAATTTCTCCAGACTTCTCCTTTCTGGCCTCCCAGGATGTGCGATGGTGTCTTAGGCGATGAGAAGATTCACGTCACCGTGACGCCGGACAACACGCGCGCGCTGATCCTGGATGGCGCCAGCACCAATGGCTTTGTCCAGTCCAAGGTGAGATGTCAAGGGAAAAGCCCAGAGCTTTTCAGCGGCAGCTGCGACGATCCGAGGATCCGCAAAGCCTGGAGACTCGGAGAAATCTGGGTAATTAGATGATGGGCTCCGATGAGGGCGAGCCCTGAAGTGACCTGCTCGATGTATTTCTCCATTTGCAAGATCATGTTTAGTCAGTTTAGTCGGGCGTCTGATGTTTGAGCATACTCAGACATTGTGTCTCTAGTGGCCAATGTCCGTTGTTGACATGTGGTTTCAATGGTCAGCCACACCAAACAAGTCATGTATGCTGGCAAGTGTCTTTCCTGTGGGGTATGGACCTGGACAACTTTGAAGGATAGACATCGACTAGAAGCAACAAAAACACTGTAGTAATTGTCGGTAAGTAAAGTAATCAGGAGGAATTGACTCCCTACAAACCACTGAATGTGAACCCCACATGTCCATGTCCGACCCATCCCACGGATTCATTGACCTACTGGATGAGGCGATGCCAAGAGGTGGACCTCACCAGTGACTTTGCCTTTCCCTACGTGGACTATGTGATGCAGCGCCTGAAGCGCATCCACTGCTCCAAGCACATGCAAGTCCTTATGCTGGGGCTAGGCCTTTTCAAATCCCAGTCAGACCTGCCAACCAACAAACCTCCGCTATCATCAACATGCATCAACTAACCATCACATTCCCTGCCTTGCCCACATATTGGGCCATGTATAGTATCTCTCCTACTTTTCCATCCCTAAAGAGACCACCAACCGCGTCCGCACCAACCACGCCATTGCGGCCCGGCGCGCCCTGCTCGGTCCCAGGCGGTAGCACCATGCAGAGCTCGCTGCGAAAGGCGTGTCCTGCGGCGGAGCTCCTCACCGTGGAGGCCTCGCCCGGCGTCGTGGCGGCCGCCCGGCGCTTCTTCGGCTTCCGAGGCGCGGTGTATAGTCTGCGGTTGGGAGCGGCGGTGAGCCCACAAATTAAGAGAGGCTTTTCATGTGTGGAGGCACATAACTATATAATTGAACATAGTTATTGTAATTTAGTCTAAGTGACAATGCAAGTGACAATGAGCATTTGGAAACATGAAGCTGAACTCAAACATAGAGCTCATGCATGCTCATGCGGAAATGTTTGGTTTTGCAAAAACTGGTCAATCACAGCTTGATGGTTTCACCATGTTTCACCCATCAGAGTTGACGGGAGGCCCCGAGGGGGCGGCTGGGATTGTTCCCTTTGAGGGCCTCTTTTTTTTGACCAAGAGGCCCAAAAGCTCAGCTCAGCTAGTAATGTTCAATCCCAAATAGTTAAGTGGGAGGGAATTTGATAATCAAGAGTTTCCCAAAGTTATTCCCAACGGAATAGTGCACATGTTTTTCACCGAGGTTATTGTTCTTGTTCTTGTTGTCGTTCAATCAGGTTTGTTTACTAATGTTCAGCTCGCTTCAGCTATTGCATCCGTTTAATGTCCTTGCTCAACCTCTTCTGAAGTTTAGATTGATTCTTGGAACTTGATTACCCGTTCCAAAATCATTGCTCCAAACAACTTTAAGTAGGGGAAGTACACAAGCCCCCTGCCATTTTTTTTCATGAATTGTTTTGAGGGTATTGGAATAATTAATCAGAAAGCTTGGAGCCTTGGGAAAGGTTTTTTTTGGTTACGACGACGACGACGACTCCTCCTACTCCTACTCCTACTCCTTCTCCTACTCCTACTCCTACTACTCCTTCTCCTACTACTCCTGCTCCTTCTCCTACTACGAGAATGTTTTTTTGTGGGCCTGTCCGGTCTCTATTTACTCTCCCTCAGTTGTTTCCTGGGGGGGACGGTTTACTATCCAACATTATAGCGACAGCGCACCTGATATGCACCTGCCTGCAAAGCTTGAAAGACGATGTAGAGAGAGCCAATGAATTGGCGTGAGACGAAAACCGGAGAGTGTTTGTCTTGTTGTATGGTGCGTTCCCTTCAGCGCTTAGATTGGAGGTGACGTCTTAGTAGAAGACGCACGGGAAGCCTTGAAAGAGCTGGCACGGAGCGGGCGACGCTTCGACGCAATCGTGGTGGATATTGCAGATACAGTGCTGGAGAAAGAAGATGTGGATCATTTGCACAGCCTACTCAAAGACAGTGGGGAAGTGTTGCAGAATCACACCAATCAGAGTCACTGAGATGAAATCAGAAACCGTGTTTGGGAGTGAGCTGTGATTTAGCTGCATCTCTTTGGCTTTGACGCATGGTTGTTACACAGTACTAGTAGTGCTAGTGCTATTCTTTGTGTCCTTTCAACTGAGCCGCCTAGGCAAGATGATGGAACAACTGGAGCACTTCAGAAAGGCTTTTCCTCATGTTGATCAAGAATCCTTTCAAGGAGGCAATATTTTGATGTCATATCGGAAAGAGCCAAAGGATGATGCTTTGCGAAGTGTGCGGAGCTGAAAAGACACACACAATCGGAGCCCGTTTGGGATCGTTTGGGTCATCTAACCGAAGACGGTCAAGGCCAAAGCCGTGATTCCAAAATCCAAGCTGGGGGCTGGGCCTTGGATGTTGGGGGTACACCTGGAGTTTTGATAGCATTCGGACTTCTGGCGTTCCGGGATGCAAGGGGTGCAAAGCCCACATTTGAAGATTCAGACCCCTTGAAGCCAGTGGATTGGTCTTTGCATGGTTGTTCAGACTTGAACATGTTGAACGTTTGGAGTGAGTTTAGGCAAGGCTCGAGTCTGTTGCCTTGTCCTAAGGACAGTGCAGTTTCAGCCCTTCAAAACGGGCAGACACATTACGAGGCTTTCCTTCGCTGCCCGACTCGGGGGTAAGACGCGGTATGCCGTGGTATGACGCATAAAACACCCCCGTATGAAGAGGTTCGTCTTCAAAAGACAGGGGACTCGGTTGTCACAGCGTGGATGAAGTTCTGTAAGTGCGTGCCCCATATGAATACTGTAATAATTAGGTGTTCCAATCCCCAATCGGGTATGTTGGAGGCCATTGCCATTGCTAGTATGTTGGCAGAGTCTATATTGGGGAATCCAAGTCAGGAGATCTCCAGAGTCCTGGAGCTTTGCGTATGGATGAATGCTTCCAGTCATACCCAGTCAGTGGAGAACCTTTGACCCGTTCTTTTTGGGGATTGGTTTTCTGTCACTGGCAAAAAAAAGGGGTGGAGTGAGTTCTTCATGTTGACCAAGCTGTTTTTGCTTTGGGCTTTGGGTGTGAACTACCCTCCTACAGATTAGCATGGCCCCTAAAACCCGCTGGGTGGTAGATGAGGATAGTCTTACAGGGGTTCATTTTCACGGTACCAGGCCAGACTGACCTGCAGTTCGCAGTGTTGGCTCCAAGAATTCCATGCTTTTCCATGACACCCGGCGAATACCACTCAAATGAACTGAAAAATATATTGATTATATCGATTATATGGCTAAATTGTAGTATGATATAATATATATATATATTATACATTATATATATATATATATATTCACGTCGCTTCGCGACGGTAACCGCCCGCACCGGATGGAAGGGGACAATACATCCACCGAGTCCCGGAAGGAAGCCCGAGCTGCTTGTGCTCTTGGAGCCAAGGGAGTGAGTATGAAAGGAAGTTTCCGACATAGCGTCCATATTGTCGGCCCCAGAACGGCTCCCCCTCAACGTGGCTGAACATAGCTTCCATATCGCCTGGAACGTCGCAAATATAAGGTCCAACTGGAGCAGAGAGAAGCAGAGTCATCAGGGGAAGGGATGATGTGGTATTCGATGGTTCAAGGGCCTTTTCAAGTAATCGTGGCTGCTGAAGGGCCGCCACCACTGCCGGAGGTATCACGATGGGACGGTTGACCCTGGCAATTTCCTTTCCTTTTCAAACAAGCTTGGGCTCAAAGACCGCAGCCATTTAGGGGCCGATGCCGCAGAGCCGGTCAAGGTCTCAATCTCCCTGGCAATTCAGGTAGTTCACGTTCTTTTCCCCATCTAGATTTGCACGAGTCTACAAGGTTAACACGTCACGGGACGTGATGTGACATGGTGCAGGTGGTTCGAGCTATACTGAAAAGAGAGCATGTTTCACCCTGTAGATGGAGTCGGCGCGCGCATCTGGAGTGCAAAAGGGGTCCCGGTCTGCGACGCTCCAGTCCCTCTCTCGAGGAGACGTGCTTGTCCAGTCCCTTTTGAGCCCTCGTTGGGCCACGTTATTTGCGATGTTGCCGTTCCGGAACGTGATCTCTGTTTATCTTTGCTCCGGTGGAGCCAAATATCACTTCTAATGCTATGCCAGACAATATGGAAGCTATGTTTAGCCACGTTAGGGGGGGAATCTATTCCAGTTTACGACGTTCAAGCGCAGACGCGTCCTTTCGGTAGTAACTTCTAGATCTCTGTTAGGCAATGGCAATATCTGCACTCTATTCCACTCCCTTTGGAGCCTTCGTGAGACCATGTTTACGGCGTTCAAGTACCTATCTCGGGGAAGCATACTGGAGACTCCGGACCAGCCACGTACCCGGACGTTCAAGTCCCCATCTCGCAGACATGTCCGTTAGATAGTGACTTCTAGGGTTATGTTACGTACCGCTCAGTCCCTATCTCGCAGACATGTCCGTTGGATAGTGACTTCGAGGGTTATGTTACGTACCCGTTCCTGGACCTGACCTGCTTATCTCTGCTCCTGACCAGCCACGTTCCCGGATGTTCTAGTCCCTATCGCGCAGACACGTCCATTAGATAGGGACTTCGAGGGCTTTGTGGCGTACCAGTTTACGACGTTCAAGTCCCTATCTCGCAGACACGTCCTTTCGATAGTGCCTTCGAGCGCTCGGCTAGACAATATCTGCACGCTATTCCAGTCCCTTGGGAGCCTTCGTTAGACCATGTTTACGACGTTCAAGTACCTATCTCGAGGAAGCGTACTTGAGATAGGGACTTCTGGAGTTGTGTTCGACCATATGGGAGCTATGCTCGGGAGATGTTACCGTTCCTGAACCTGACCTGCTTATCTCTGCTCCTGACCAGCCACGTACCCGGACGTTCAAGTCCTTATCTCGCAGACATGTCCGTTAGAGAGTGACTTCTAGGGTTATGTTACGTACCGCTCAGTCCCTATCTCGCAGACATGTCCGTTGGATAGTGACTTCTAGGGTTATCTTACGTACCCGTTCCGGGGCCTGACCTGCTTATCTCTGCTCCGGACCAGCCACGTTCCCGGATGTTCTAGTCCCTATCGCGCAGACACGTCCATTAGATAGGGACTTCGAGGGCTATGTTGCGTACCAGTTTACGACGTTCAAGTCCCTATCTCGCAGACACGTCCTTTCGATAGTGCCTTCGAGCGCTCGGTTAGACAATATCTTCACGATATTCCAGTCCCTTGGGAGCCTTCGTTAGACCATGTTTACGACGTTCAAGTACCTATCTCGAGGAAGCGTACTTAAGATAGGGACTTCTGGAGTTATGTTCGACCATATGGCAGCTATGCTCGGGAGATAATATTTACCGTTCCTGGACCTGACCTGCTTATCTCTGCTCCTGACCACCCACGTACCCGGACATTCAAGTCCCTATCTCGCAGACATGTCCGTTAGATAGTGTGCCGCTCAGATGATTCAGGTGATGCAGATGATGCAAAGCAGAAACTCGCATTTCTTGCATCCCTAAAGCCTTCAACATACCCAACATTAGCACGAATGCACTTTAAGCCGGTTTCAAAAACGTGAAAAAACACAGGATTCTAGAGCGAAAATGGCCCCCCCCCCTAGCTAAAGCTACAGTAGTACTACAGTAGTACTGGCGGTACTTAGGAATCATGCGTGCCCTATAAAACGCCTCAGCACCTTCAGTGCGGGCGGATATATATAAAGAGAGAGAGGAGTTTCTCTAGAATAGTATAGCAGCTACATATGGCGGGTTTGGAAGATGATATTGTTTCCTTGGCGGACGTGAAACATGTGCAGCGATTGGTTTGCTTGGGCTCAGCCAGGCGGCTGGTGGATCACCTGCTTTGCGGCGCGTGGTCGCTGAGCATTTGGAACGCACCAGGTGAGCAATTCCTTGATTGTCCATCAAAGGGATGGGACGGAGGGATTAGGGGAGGCTTGAGATTGGAGATGAAGGATTCTGTGGAATTGGTTGCACCTGCGTCGGGCTGCATGTGGGTTTGATTGGGGAGAATATGGGTCCACCACGCTTGCAAAAAGGGTTCAAGCATGCACAATCAAAGACAGAATCAAAATGTGTATTATACACTTCCAACCCAAGATCTTGGAAATGTATCATGAAGCCATGAAGCTGTCTTTGTGGACAACTGAACCATCAGTCGAGATTTTGGATCTTAGATCATCTAAGCATCTCTCTTGAGTTCAACTGCTCATTGATTTTGCGGTTCCGGAACATCAGACAACATAGACAACTCACAAAATCCTAAGACAAGCTAATGTTGTTTGGCTCAACCTCGACATCAATCTGTCCATCCATGATTTGATGTCATACCTTGGGACTCGGCCTTCTATGAACTATATGCTCAATTATTTCCTTCTGTGGAGGCCGGGGCTCAAAGCAGACCCGGAGCAGGCAACGCCACGCTTCGCGTCAACCCGCGTTCGCTGGCTTCGGCCACCACGCCCATTCGCGGGGGGGAGGGACAAAAACTGCTCATTCAAAGTCCGGTCATCACTCATCAATTTCACCCCTGACCAAGTGGTGGATCATGACGCTCGGGTAGGGTATTTAGTTAGTTCATGAGTCAACTTGGGAGTTCCGGGAGTTCCGAGGTTTTTGCGAGTCCTTTCAGGTGATGTCGGGAATGGAGAGGGTCTCCATGAACCACCCAACTCTCGTGGATTCGAACGTGGGTCTTGGTATCGAACCTTTTTCTGTCGAAACGCGATTTTCTGGCTTTGCGGCTCTGCAAGTAAACATCTGAAGAATTGCTTTGGGAGTTGCAGGTACGTGGAAACTCTTAGGCTCGTCCCGGACAGGCCTGTAATTCTGAAATTGTTGAGATCTGAAGTCAATTGGCACATATATATATATATATATACAATATTCACACTTGCATTGAGCTTGCGGTTGCAAGTTTTATGTTCACAAAAATTGACTAAAATGTCCCACCGGGACATTTTGGCTCAAGTTGGGTGGCAACCTCGTGTGAGTTGCCAAGGCTGATTTGTGAAACTCGCGACCGTAGGTTTTAGTTCTCGACGCGCATCGCTATGGCGCACCGATGGAGTCCGAGTACGTGATGATCGAAATTTTCAGAGACGCCCAACCAGACGATGGAGCTGAAGACATGGCTACGGTCAGTAGCCCAGACATGGACCGACTCAACCAGGAGGCAGACGTGGCTTCCTCCGCCACGCGGAAGACGAAGCTGCGGCAGGCCTCGCAATGTACCGGGCCTTGGAGCGCCGCACCCACCCGTGCACATATGCCTCCGACATGATCGAGCCCTTCCACTACCCGGAGAATGAGGTGGAAGTCCAGAGACGGGAAGGGCATAGGCCCTCAATTCATGCCATCATCTCTACATGGTGGACCCATGACACGGCCACGGACCAGTGTTGGAGGTGGGAGAGCCGCACCTGGGACCTCCCCTCTTTGATCCACATCTACTCCTACCGCTACAGCTTGAAGTACATCTACAGCTTGTGGTGCAGCTTGCCCCTGGCAATTGGTGGAAAGCAGCGCGGAAAGGATGCCCCGGCTCGGATCACCATCCCACTCTCGGCCCTCAAGGAGTTCCCCGATGTCTACCAGAAGTTGGTGGGACAGATCCCTCAGTCGGCCATGGTGGAGGTGAAGGTCAACTGGCGATGCAATGTTCTCCATAGCTGGTGCCTCTGGCCCTCCGGGGGGGCTCTGCAACACTGAAGGGAGATGACCCCGTGGCCACCAACATGGATGTTGGCATCCAACAGATGGACACCTCGGAGGCAGTACCTCCCCCGCCGCTGCCCGCTGGCCAGCTGGCCCCTCGATATCTCAAGCTGTCACCTGGCAATGTGACCAGCATCGTGGGGGACAAGCCCTCCTGATGGAGCTGGTGCTGACTCTTCATCGTGCGGGCTGCAATTTGGCTCCTAGCCGTAGCCACATTACCCAGGGAATTCAACACCTGGGCGGATGAATTGACACATCCGGACTTTCAAGGATTTTCACCGGAGCGCCGGCTACCGGCTCCGAACAATTTGTTTTCTTTTCCATTGGCGACTCGTCTCCTTTCGATCACGAACTTTTCCTAGTATCCCAGGCAAGATCCCGTGACCGGATCCGGTGGGAGTCCTCCTCCCAGGGGCATAAGGTGTGTCAGGCATGAACGGGTGAGTGAAACTGCTTGCCACACCCTTGATTTTGAAGTGAGGCGGTCACAAGGTGGACCCATGCACCTCTCAAAGCAATGCGACAAAAGGCTGCTTGCTGCTTTTGTTGTTCAGGGATGTTTTTGATTTTTGGGTACATATATATAATATATATATATATATATATGCATATACATTATTTGTAATTCGGAGATTTGACATCGATTGGCACAATATCCAGGTGTTGTGCATGCCGGGCGGCAAGCCCGTCATCTTCCACACGATCGCCGCACTGTGCGAGGAGAGGTGGTGACGGTCGCGAGAAAAGGCAATTCTTTTGACTGTTTGGAGAGGATGAGCAATCGACCAAATTCAGGGGGTGAACGAGAGTCAGGTGAGCATGAGGTGGCCAGCTCCATAAGGGACTTGTTATGTCATAGACCCACCTTTATTGGATGGAAAGCTCAGAACTTGCCAGGTGGGGCGCATATACACCCACATGTTTTGAGCATCCCAATCGCGAACTGTCAGGAGGGGGATGAGGTCGGGGGCCTTAGAAATTGGGCCGGGGGGGGGGGATTGGCCAAAGATGCCTCAGGGTGAACACACCGTAGCGCAGTAGCACTGTTGGATACTGACCCCTGATCAGCCTTTGAGCAGAGTGCAGAAGTCCCACGCAGACAGAGCCACTCAAACCAATCGGATGTACATCAAGTTACTGTAGACTTAATTACAGTCGGGAGGAGGATATGATGGAAAAAGGTTCGTTCTTTCAGGTCTCTGTTTGGTGATTGTTTTTAAATGGATCCTACGCCGAACATACCAACCTGTTTTGTTTGGGCAAGGAGGTAACTTGCTTCCGTCGGGGTAACCAGGTCCGCAAACACAAATCTGGTGGAACATTTGTAACCGGACCCAGATAGAGGAAGATGAAGACCCTCCGAAAATTATAACTCTTCTTCTTGTCCTGCTTGTTCCACCCCACAATCTAGTCCAACACTAGCTCCCCGCCCCACCCACCGAACCCAGGCCCCATGTGGATACTCTTTCACCCTCCATGCGCCGGGCGGGTGGCACCTAGGTGATCTATCCGGACCCGGGTTTCCCCGCCTACGAGACCACCATCCAGTGGTCCGGCGCCACGGCCAAGCCGCTGAAGCTGCATGAGGCCACGGGCTTCCGGTTCCAACACGCTGCGAGGCCGAAGTGGAGGTGGAGAAGGGGGGTGGAGAAGGGGGAGGTGGGTGGGGACTGGATGATGTACGAAGTGGCAGGATGCTGAAGATGTTGAAGGAAGAGAAGACAACAGGGAGGATTTGGATGGATTTGGGGCTTTGGATGGCTTTGGAAGATTTGGTATAGCGAGGTAGCCAGGGAGGGAGGTAGGCCGGTATGGGTCGGATAGGGATTGGATTTGCTTTCTGATGATGGCCCAAATAGGGGGCCAAGTGATAGATGACTTAGAGACTTAGAGCGAATGATGGATAGTCATCTCCAGTACATTCCAGTACCATCAGTAGGAGCATGTAGGAACAAATGGTTTAACTATACAGACTCATAGAAGCTTGGCTCAGCAACGTTCAACACGCCACAAATCTGAGATCCTCTATCTAAATTCTGACCTCCTCCTATTCTTTCGCGGACACTTCCTTAGCGCCTCTGAGGATTACAGGAGAAAACACGGGATCCGTACCTCCGCAGATGGACCACATGGCCCCTGACACTTCACCCATGGTTTCGACCCTGGTCCGAAGACCAAATACCCGGGGGGGTCCACCGTGGTCCTCTGCAGGGTAGCAAAAGGGTGCAGGTTTCTTGTTTCTAATAGCTTCTTGCTCCTAGTAGCGATGCCAGGAGCCCCTAGTAGCGATGCCCTTGCTAGTGCCCTTGCTCCTAGTAGCTTGCTCCTAGTTGATGTGCTCTCGATTGCTGAGAATGCCTGGGGGGTCGCTCCGCGAGTCGCCTGGCGCGCGGCTCGCCGAGCGCAGCTCAGGACGAGCTCCGTCGCTTGGCGTCTCCCCGCACGGAAGCTCAATGAGTCGCATGACGATGACGATCTGGGCGAGACGACGAGGGTTTTCTTGGAAAATCTGAGTGAATCTGGTCACATAAGCTGACACTGACATCTGAGCTTCACAGGAGCCGACCTAACATATGAGCTTCATATGAGCTTCACCCTACACAACATTCTTTGGAGTAAATCAAGTGTGAAGCAATGGGGAGCTGGAGCATTATTTGTGTTTTAACAGAGAAATCTCCACTCCAATGATTGGGGGAATGACAAAGCTGGAGGAGAAGCAACAAGGTAGCCTTCAATATCAACCGAGCAATTTAATGAATTGGCCCAAGTGGCAAGTCTATGCCCAAATTACTCGTTGAGCCCTTTGGCAATGATTTTTACATGCGTGGGTTCCCATAAGACTAGATCTTCCAGCGCAAGCCTCAGAAGTGATGCCAGCGCGACGGCAGTGCTTGTGGAAGCAAGGATCTTGGACTGTGCAACCTTCCACCTTCGGTCGGGGGAATTTTGGGTCTGAATTGGGCATGGACCTTCAGAAGCGGATCGCGCATGACTTGAAGCTTGTCCTACCTGATGGACAGTTGTCCTCGAGCTTGCAGAACCAATCTATTGGCCACACTTGCTGATGTCTGTGAAACAAGGTAGGGCTGGTCACCGCATCGAAGTGCTTAAGCATCGAATAAGCCGCGGAGAACATTCAGATCAAACAATGATGCCACCGATTTGGATCTGTCAGCTCTGGATGTTGGCAAAAACCACACAACGAGAGGGCACTTGGGCTGACTCATAGGAGGAACACAGACATTGACATAGCACCCACTTGCGGCAGATGTGTTTCTTCGCGTTTTGGTGGCTGGGGGATGTTGTCAGGGGTCAGGCACTCAAGTATCTTGAAAAACTTCTGAGGAAAGGGACTTGGACAGTACAATCCTGCCTGAGGTGATTCAATTCTCGGAGAAGATTGCAGCTTTTGTATGCTTTTGTGTTGCTCCGTTTACAAGAACCAGAAGGTGTAACTATGATTAATTATAGTGTAGTACTATGTGTATTTACAACTTTACTTCACGGCCCTTCACGGCCCTTCATAGCCTAGACTGCCTGGATGCTGAAAAGATCCAGGTGGCGTCACCGCCCCCACCGAGATCGACCGCCATGTGAGGCACGAAGCTCATCATCCTATGTTCGCCCGGGAATCCCACCGGTGGTGTGCCTCGACTTATAATTATGACCGCTTTTTAATTGGGATCGAAGACATGGGCTGTGTTGACTCTTGCTAAGCAAAAAAACATGTGTATATATTATCTATATATTTATATTATGTAAAGTACAGTATAGTGCTTATAAACCTCTTGCTTGGCGAAGGATTCGATGTGCTCCCCGCAAAGGACGGAATGAACCACATAATACCACATACAACCACCTCTTTCTCTCCAGACCTCGAACATGCACCAGTTCTGCCGGGTTGCCGCCCCTTTTGAGGTGCTCACATCGGAGGATTTGGACTGCGCGGCAGAGGTGGCCAAGGAGGTGGACGCCTTTGTGCTCAGCGATGAGATCTACTCCAGGTTCTGCAAGACGGTCATTGTCCTTTGGGGGTTTAGCGCTTGGGTGGGATTGGGAAGGTTGGCTGCAGATGGGGCGGAGGTAGCGACCATCCGGTGTTTTTGGGACAGTCTTTTGGTTGATCATCCTTACATTTCTCAACCGTTTGTAAATGGGTGAGCTGTTGAGCAGCTTTTACGAAAGCCAGCCGATTTCCTTTTCCTAAGTTTGTTTATTCGAACTAAGTGATTAGTGGGTGTGGGGGTGTATTTTGGTGAGTGCGTGATGCGATAGATGCAAGATGCACATGTTTCGGCATCACTTGCATCATCAAGTTGCGGTCATCAGGAGATCGTCTCATTGCGACCCAAGTGTCCGGCTCACGACGTAAACTTCCACTGGCTTTCGTTTCCATCTTCTCAGGTCTGCAGGATGTTTTGGGGGTTTGGCAGGGTATCTAACAGCAAGTGGGGCTTTTGCACCACTTGTCTTGTGCCACTTCGCTTCATGGTCCCACTTGTCTCGTGCCACTTTCGAACATAAGCTGCGAGGAGTGGGATGGAGAATCAATGAACATGAACCCTCAGCACCTCAAAGGGTAGGGATTTGGAGAGGCCAAAACCCTACATTGGGGAGCTATCGTGGGGATTCGTGGGGCATTTTCCAGGACATGTTCGGGGCAATTTCCCGCCCTAGGGCTGGTTTGCCATTTGATGCTGTTGGGTTGTTGAGGGGTTGTCTCACAAGTCAATATAACAAGAAATTCAGCTGTCTCCCCTTGTCCTTGTGGTCCTTTGACATCCTCTGACATCCGAAGCCTTTGAGACCAAACCCAACAATTCCGGATCTCCGCGCCCTGAAGCCAAATCCGGCCAATCCGCCAGTTTGGTCTTCGAGGGCCAGCACGATAGCATCTTGTTGCGGGAGGCCCGGGCGCCGTCGCGCCGTTCCCAGCGGTGCACATTGTGCAGGTGCAGCGCACTAATGGCTTAAAGCGTGTGGGTGCAGCGCACCAGCACCTGCTTCGCATGTCTTGGCATCATGCAGAGGACTGAGAAGTCATATTCCATGATCTCTACAGTGGTTCTTCTATGTTCTTCTCATTCTTTTCAGCCTTCGATGCTTCGGGCGGATGTCCACATTTGTACCGTGCAGCCCGCGGGCGCCCGCTTCCAGGGCATGCCGGAGAGATCAGTGCTGCTGGATGGCTGCAGCAAAGCCTTTGCCCGGAGCCCTGACGGAGGACCAATACTTTATTGATTGATCTTTATTATAAATGTCTTGTGTCAGTCTAAAGATATGCGTTTGAGTGCCCAGCATCCACTATCTCCCCTTGGACACCGTGGACATCCGTGAACACCACATGTGGACACATGTGGACGTGTTTCTTCTTTGGAGAGCATTCAACAATTCAACAAAATCAATTCAACAAGCAAAAGTTCTTGGTGTGGTTCGAATGCCAGCCGCCAGAATCTTCGTTGCCTTTTGGGACCATTTGTTCATGCTAAGTACCTCGCAACCATGTTGTTGATGGTAGACTTCGAACATAGTGACATGTTCAATTTTGTTTGCTTCCGCAATCCATTCCGCGTGAGAGATACACTCAAAACTTGGGGTAAACGTTCCTCCGCTGAATCAAGAACAGCTCTGGATGAATAAAAAGCCGAATCCTTTCGGAGGCGATGACAGGGTGGCGATTGGGCTTTGGCCTTTTCCCCTCCACCATGGTGGAGGCCAGCTCTGCGGCGAGCGAGAATCCCCCGTGGTCGCGACGATTTAGAGAAGGAAGACAACAACGGGAGGAGGTTGAAGAAACTTTGGGCTGTTTGACCTGTTTTGGAGTTCTTGTGACCTCCCAGCAAAAGTGATTACCACACATTCTACTTCAACCTGTTGAAGTTAGGCCTTCCGCCCTTTAATTAGGCCTTCCACCGAGATCGATGTTCCACACCTTTTGTAACGTGGCTTCTGTTGTCCTTTGTATCGGAGGGGTATTTTTGTTGGATGTTTTTTTTGGTGGCTTGTGGCTTTTGGTGGCTTTTGGTGGCTTTTGGCTTTTTCTGCTTTTGCTTCTTTGGTGGCTTTTTCTGCTTTTGCTTCTTCGTTGGCTCTTGGTGGCTTCTGTTGGCTTTTGTGGCTTTTGGCTTCGCTTGCTTCTACGGCTATCATGCTGGAGCTTACAAAGCGGTGCTGCTCACAGTGGCCAGGGTTGCGCATGCCCTGTGCTGCTGTGAGTGGCCAGCCTACAGAGCTGTGCTGCTCACAAGCAACCAGCTTCCCTTGCTTCTGTTGGCTTTTGGTTTCCTTGAATCATACAAAAATGCAAAAAAAAACACACACACACAACCAACAAGAAACTCAAAACACAGTAAATCCGCAACCCTTTTTATCATTTTGTCTATTGGTGCGGGCTGCATAGCAGCTAGTCATTTGGAAGAAACAGTGTATCCGAGTTGTTTGACAAACTGGAGCAGCGGTTGCACGTCATTCTGTGCGAAGAAAGAATCATGGCTGACATGTGCTGACCTGTGTCTTGATTAGAGCCTTGGACAAGCTACAAGAACAAGCGCGGCCTTTGTATCCTCTGGACAACGGTGAACTACCTGGTTGATATTCATGTACTAGACATGGATGAATTCTTTGCGTTTCTAGACTCTTTTTCTTCAAGTCTGAGCTCATCCAAGCAGAGCTTTGTTGGCCTCCTGATCCTCCCAGAGTTG